ATTATCCTTCATTCCTGTGAAAGATGCACATGTTGGAAATGCAGCAAGTAGAGTTTATAAAAGGCACCACACTAAAACACAGCATTGAGCAGGGTCAGATTTACCATTAGGCAGGGTAGGCACGTGCCTACAGACGTCCTCCATTAAGAGGCTCCGTGCAGGTACCTACTCTACCTAATTCCTGGTGTTGTGTCACGGTACAACACCGGCAATAGCAAGGAGGGTGCATTCCGCAGAAAATGCACCCTTCTGCTCCAAGACTAGTGGCGCCTACAGGAACCGCCGACTAACGCAAACACAAGTGAAGGACCCCGGAACTGCGTAAGGCTGCCCTGTAAAACACCTGTGATGCTGACAGGTGTTTATGGCAGCCTTAACCGACGCCGGGGTCCTTCTCAGCATATGTGAAAGTTGCTGGGTCCTGCAGCAGGAAAGGGTGGCGGCTCAGGCTAAACAGATTTCCATGCATGCCTACAGGTGCCCGAGATGGCAATCGGGCCCTGACATTGAGAACTTTCTCTAAGAATGCAGTGGGAATATGGCTATAGCTGCTATAAATATACACATAAACTGGTCTTTTTAACGATCACTCTTTTAGAATTTACATCTGTGTACCTCTTTGCTTTCATATGGATATATCATAGTGTGTAAATGGCTGGGAAAGGAAACTGTAAACTGATGCACTAGCTCTTGTTTGTTGGTGATCTGAAAAAACTCGACTCCAAAGTCGGCACTGGATTTTATTAAGCTATACTAGGAGAGTGCACTTGGAGGACCTGAAAAAACTAGACAACTTGGTTACTTGTTCCAGGAATGAGAGGGTCACCTATCGGAAACTGTTGTTATAGAGGAAAATAGGGGCCTAAGGAGTTAGAGGGATCATTATATAAATATTGTTTAGGTACGTAAATAAGTACATCTAGCAGGAATGGATAGAGCAATTAAACCACAAGTGCTCACACTCATTGCATAGAATCCAATGCTTATAATGGTGGCAATCCACCACTTCATCATTCAGAAAGCTACCTAAATAAGATTCATAGAGGGATCATCTAACCTATTAAGACTGTCTGTATTGCTCTGATGGCAGTTCCTAGTACCCAGGTAGCAATGATAACTCGCCACAAACTTGTGGTAGGTTAAATTGTAATTCTTGTTAACTTGCTGCTCACATTCCTGGCAAGTTGTAGACTTGCAGAACACTTGCAGCACAAGTTCTAGTTGACACTTTTTGAATTTGTAGCAAATTTGTTTGGCAAGTCTACAGCAAGAGTCCTGCTGGTCTCAGCAAGAGCTCTGCAAGTGTGCAGCACTTTTGCAAAGCACGTTGATCTGTAATACTTTAGCAAGTCATTTTCAAACTTGCAGCTCAATTGCTTGCTATCTGGGTAGATGACACTTTTCTTCCTTGAAGACCTACTTATCTGATTACTCTGACTCCTCTACCTTTGTATGTTCAGGTAACCTAAGGCTACCCCTGGGGTGGAGTATTTTGCTGATGGGAAACTACACATTTGTGCTGTTGTTTACATTAGTGTTGCCCAGCTATTTACTGGAATTAATCTTAAAGTGTATGTTAAGGCAAAACTTTTCTGTGATTTTGAATAGAGTGGCAAAGTGACTTAGTACCCTTGTCAGGTTTTTACTGCTGCCTGTGTCCCCTCTAAGGAGATTCCCCCTTTCTATTTGTTGTGGTGACTATTGTCACCAGGACATTGACCAAATGATGGGAAATCTAAAATTCAAAGGTAATCTTCCAAATTGGACATTTGTCCTGGTAACAGCCGAAGGGGTTTACCTCACGCTACAAAAATTCCCACTAACCTTTTGTTATGTCTTTGGATAGAAAGTAAAGGGAAAATTCTTGATTGGGACACACATGGCAACAAAAAACTTGGCAGGGGCTTTAACCATTCCCTACTCTACCCAGCATGAAAAAAGTTTTCTTAATCATTAGACATACTTTAATCTTTGCAGTGGCTGTTACCTATTGGCTACATCCTTCTTGTTAGTACCTTTATGCTGCCTCTAGTCTATAAATCAGCTGCTCTAAATGCATGGCTTGCCATATAGAAGAACAGTAACAAGATTTCCACCTTTAAAAAATAAAACATTAACAGCTTACTTTTTGGATTTGTGGTTGAAGTGATAATTTAAACACACTTTGTTCTGAATACGGCAGTGCTGCAGTTCCCGTTATTTTCTGTGGATAGGTTTTTGGTTCCTTTTGTTTCCTCACCATACCCTGTGTGCTTGCCTTAGCAATAAGAGAGCTCCTCTATTGTTTCCCCAAAGTGTTGTCTGGCCAGCAAGTTTAATGTCGTATAATCCTCTTTCCTTTATTGCTTTTGGGGTGTATATGTCTTCAGGTAGTAAACTGCATCTTAACTTAATATGTTTTGGAAAGGCCCCTGAGCCACATACTTACTAATACAACTTTACATGCATCTTAATATGTCCCTCTATGGCCATCTCATGTGTTGGCAAGTATGGTGGTCTCCAACGTTGGTAGTTAAAGTAATTTAATATTACAAAAGAGAATATCTAACCTCTATAATTATGCTGAAAAGCAACACAGGGCTCTTATGTTTTGGCAGAGTGTATCAATGCAATTTGAGGTCATTATTTTAACATAATATTGAACATATGGAGCATGTTGAGAGATCAGCAATCAGTCACTTTACAGATTAGGGTTTTCCAGGCCCCCGGTTCACATTCAGGTTACGTTTTATAAACACAGACTGTTTAGAATGCAAGTACAGTAGTCATCTCATTAAGGGGAGATCCAGTTTATTGTGGATAGATTGCTGTGACTCCCTCACTAGATTTCAGCGTTGAGTAATAAATCTCTTGATTGAATTGCTTGAGCTGCCATTACATTAAAAAAAACACAGCGCGGCAAAATGATTAAGGAAAATGGTTTAGTGCAAATTGTAGTAAGCAAATATATTTGCAGCTATTGTAAACATGTAATTTTATACTTCATCAGATGACATAATTAACTCCATCTATAGTAACAACAACACATTATATAAATCAAAACAGTTTCCTAATTTGAAGGATTTGTGGATCTTATATTCATTTTCAAAAGAAAACCTTGAGAGTTTGTTCATAGAGATCATTATGGCAATTGAAAGATCATACCAACTGGCAAACCACATTCTGTATATTATTCTACAAGTTTGCTCCTGTATTTTAATATAATATTCTTTAAACAAACCTTTTTCAGTTACACAAAAGTGTTAAAATATTTTGCCTCATTATCATGTTTTAAGTTTATTCACATTACATAGACACAATGGTGCTGTTTTTTTAAACTACTGCCCAGCGTACAGCAGAGTGAATGCTGATATCACAAAAACATTTGGCCATCTGTTACACTGGGGCTGATTTTATAAATCTTTTGTCCAGCGTAAAACATCTGCGCAAATGACTATACCTTGGTAACACAAACTAGTAACATTTAAAATGACAGTGTAGTACTATCACCAATGGCAACCATATCAAGCAATCATAGAATCATAAAAAAACACTATTTAACATTTTCAAACTTATGCAAACTTAGTGAAATAAGCAGTTTAAAGTGCTGTGCAATCAGTTCCTAAAGTCCACAAGTCCACAACAACATAGGCGCTTGATTCTAAAAGGTGAAATATAGTTCATTTTGCAATGTGCTAACTACACGAAAAAACTCCACCTTACGCCCCCCATCTGATGGATAGACCTAGTGTTGCTCCAAAAAAGAACATATAACAGAACCATAGTGCTCTCCATCTCATAAAACATTTTATTAAAACTACATTTTGAATACGTTTGAAAATGTTAAATGGCAATATTTTTTTATAATTCTATGATTGACTGATTGATGTATTTCACTTTTTTATATGGTTGCCATTGGTGATGGTGCTACACTGTATTTTTTATTTCTATTTTTTATTTATATGTATAGCTTCACCTTGGATTCTGGCAAGGGCTACAAATCGTAATTGATCATACAGGTTATTCATTGCTGACTTCTGGGAGGGAAATGGTTTTTCTCCCTCTCTACTGGGATAGTAAGGGTATCAGATTTTAAGTCCCAAAGAAGAACAAGACTGTTTGGTATAAGTAAAGAGTCTGTACCTGAATATAAGTATCTTGGATCATTAGAGTCGTCTTGGGATCGAAAAGCTTCCATTGCTTCGCTACTGTTGGAAGTGATTGTGAAGCCTAAGATTTGAGCAGTTAAATATTTCTTGTGTCCTTTTGAGGAGACTGATTGCAGACTCATTTGAAGGCAAGGATTTTACACAGTCATCTACACAGAAGTCCTTTTCTATGAATTGATATCTCAACCCATACTCTGTCTTACCTTCTTTGGCAGCAGTCTGTAGATAGCTATGGTACTTTATAATGTATTTGGAGGGATCATTGACTCCAAACCAAAGAGATTTCTGTCCTTCTCTCTAACAAGGAAGCAATAGAAGATTTGATAGATGTCATCTATAAAAGCAGCAGTTTCTCTGTGAAATCATCAGAGCACCCATTCTGAAGTTTGTTATTGTGGACTGGATCTGTCACGAGAACTTTGTTTGAGGAGACACACCAAATGTGGCTCTGGAGTTAAATACTACTGTAACCTTAACTGGGTTTTTTGGGTGATATAATATATATTGTATATATTGACAGCTACCAGCACTCCTCAGAGTCTTTAAGAGTGGTAGCTATTTCTGCTTGACCATTCTCAAATATTTTTTCCATAAAGGAAAGGAAGTGGTCTCTCATCTCTGGCTTTCTTAGGAAATTAAGATATTATATAAAACTCTGTTTGTGTTATGTTATTGTTTAAATTCGCTTATCCATTAATGTGCAAAATCTACACTGAAATAACATTTGACATGTATTATTCAAGAAGCACAGATAAGTGCCTTCCTTTTTTGTAAGGAAATAATAACAGTATATAAATATATGATGAGTTTATGGTATATGATTTTTATAGCATATCTAATTTTTTTTTCTAGAGATTAAAGGCAGCTTTAAGCCATCATCCTGGAGCCATATCTAATGGGAATATGAACTCAATGGGACATATGATGGACATGATGAACTCCCGACAAGAACAGGCGCCACATCATCATATGCACTCACACCCACATCAGCATCAGAACTTGTCACAGCACCATCCGTATTCTCATCAGCAACACCAGCACCCTGCACATCATCCTCACTCCCAGCCCCATCACCAACAAGGCCATCCTCACCACCACTCCCACTCACACCTGCACCCACATCAATCACACCATCAGACGTCAACACATCCTCCCCTGCACAGTGGTGGACAAGCACAGGTAGGTGCCAGTTGTATTTATTATAATTCTTTAATGTATTGTCATGCATGTATATCTGTCAGAGATTTCTTTCTTTTTGAGTGTGTGTGTGTGTGTAAGCTATGTATTCGGTGGAAAATGAAAATTGTAATGAAGCAGTAATTTACCGCCTGGGGAAAATACTTTTTTTTTTTGTGGATGGTGACTGCAACGATTAGTGAGTCATGTACTTAACAATTTTTTGGAAATAGAAAAATCGTTAGTAAACATTACCATGAAGTTGATATATTACTAAAAAAATAAAATGAATCTATGAAATACCCTACTAGTTTTTTTTAGGTCTTGATTGAAGGTAGAAAGCATGGATTTCGTAATATACTGTATCTTTTTAGTGGGAACAGCTACCTTGTGCTGCAGATGCTTGTCTAGTCTCTGTTAATGCTGCCAATACCTTCGTCACCACCTTGGACAGTTGGATTCTGTGTGAAGGGGACTCTGGCTTAACCTCTGCCCCAACTAAACTCAGCAATCATTTTTCCTTATTTGCATCACAAGTAGTGATGATAATCGTTTGAAAGTAAAAATGCTGTGATAAGCATGATGCTTACACATGGAAGGCCTTTTAAAGAGTGTGGAGAAACCTAATCAGAATTTAAATAATTTGCCAGTTCTTGTACACAGATAGGTATTTTAGAAAAGGAAAAAAAAGCATAATTTTTTATCAATCCAAGGTAACCAAGCAGTTTTATTAACCTCGCGGAGGAAATAGATGTCAGCTCTTAAAAAACAGGCCTCTTTTTTCAGAAAAGTTCTGCTTATTGTAAACTGAGTATTGAAAAAGACTGTCAGCACCTGAAGCTAAAACAGAAAGCAGTATTTGTAAAAAAAACGACCAATATTTTTCCTAAGTACATGTTTTAGATTGGAAATAAAATGCCAGCTCTTGGGACTAAAACTGCAATGTATTTTTATAATAACAGGCCATAGTTATTTTATCTCCAGAAAAGTAAATTTTGTACATTGAGATATGAATAAATTGTCAGCTCCTGGATTTAAAACATCAAGATATTTTGTAAAACAAAATCCTGTACTTTTTTAAAAATGCTTATGAATGTACATAGTCAGTTCCTGAACCTAAAAGGATCTTTTAGAAACTGGCTTCTTCTTTTTCTCCAAAAAGTACAGATGTTCATATACTTCCAACATAGCAAATATTTTTTTTTTAAAACAGGTCTCCACTTTTCTTCAAAAATGCCCTTTTCAGCTTAGAAATAAAATGTCAGTTACTGGAGTTTTAACAACATATGCAACAGGCAACGTCATTAAACTTTTAATACACTGGATAGACATAGTCATTAGGACAGTGAACCTGATCACACAGCCAAATTGGTTTAAAACCAAGAACCATTAAATGAGAAGTATTGGGAGAGTAAAGTATACTCCCCCCAATACTTAAGCCAGTGTGTGGCACTGCAGCTGTCATACACCAGCTCTATAAATCGACAGCTGAGCAATAACGTACCGCTGATCATTCAGCACGCAGCTTCTCTCTGCAAGAGAAGGTGACTATCACTCACAGCTCCCCACAGGGATTCCCCCCTCCCCTCTCTGTTCCTCTAACGCTCATTGGAGGGACAGATGGGGGGGGGGAGGGGAGACAGCTGTTTTTGGTTCTAGAGAGGTAGAGCCAGCTGTCAATCAAGCAGTGGGGTGGATCCTGACAATATTGACAGGATCTTTCACGGCTGCAGCGTGGCTCTGCGCTGTTGTCAAATAGCAGGCAGTAGCTAACTTTGGGTCACAGAAGTACATTAGTAAATGTACTAATTTGACCCAAAAGAGGACTAAAGCCAAAAAAAGGTTTGCCTATAGTTCTCTTTTAATGTCGTAGAATGGTCCAGTGAAAGCCCAGACCTCAATTCAACTGAAGATCTAAGATTTGAAAATTGCTGTTTAGCAGTTTTTTTTATCAGTCTGACAGAGCAAGAACATCTAAGTACAGAAACATGAGCAAATGTGCAAAGCTAGTAGAGACTGCAATTGAAGCCAAAGGAGGTTCTTCCAGGTCTAACTCAGGGGGATGAATACTCTCTGTTAAGTACTTTGTTTAGATCAAATTATTATTTGTTTTAGAAAATAAAGAAGAAACACTGGCTTCTCTCGTGTCTATATTTCTTCAACATTTAAACAAAGTTGCCCGACTTTTACTTTTTATAGGGATTACTATGTCATTTGACTCTGAAAGGAAAAATGCTAGAATCACTCCTGATAAACACAGCATGTTACACATTAAAACTTAAAGTTTGCCTAAAAAATAATTATTTTTAGCTTTTAAAATTCCTTCCAAGAGTAGCATGGATAAAGCCCCAGTGTTACACAGGTGTGTGCTTCAAGGACATGTCTATTTGCAGTCAGTGGAAACTAAGAAATGAAAAGTAAACATGATCAGTGACAGATGTTTTCAAGTCATTTGTAGATCTTACCACTGCTTTACTCCGCACAATAATTTGTGTTGGCTTCCAGTATTATCCTTTATTCTCCTTTATTATTACTGAGCATTTTTAACTATATCATACTAAAAACCAACTGCACATACATTTACAGTTTTGGTTGAGCACCAGTGGGATGAACACATAGGGGTCTATTCACGAAGCTGCCGAAGGATCTGGCCGTAGCTTCGGCCGATCCTTCGGCCCCAGGATGGGCCATGCACGGAAGGTAGTTAGGAATAACCCGAACAGCAGTGAGTAGCCTGCTGGAGGTTCGGCTCAGCCGATCAAGATGTTGGATCGGCTGAGTTGAACTCCTTCTGCACTTTGGGTCGGCCATACATGCTGAGCATGTTCGGCCGACCCGAAGCCACACAAAGCAAGCCGATGTACGGCTGATTTAAGCCAATGCACGACTGAAATTTGCAGTACCAGCCTGAAGTGAAAAGCCGAACAGTGTTCGGCTCACTTCACTTCAGATCGGTCATTCACTCGGCTGCCCTCGGCAGCTTCGTGAATAGACCCCATAATCTCATGTCTCTATGAGATAGTGACATTTCCTGCACAGCCGTATCTGTGTTCATGATAACATTTCGTTAGTTATGGTGTTACATTTTCGCCAAACAGTTCACCAATTATTTCTATATTTTTATTACAGAGAATACATGTTTCCCCCACCTTAAACATGTCCAACAAAAACTTTATTTTAGTTTTAAATAGAGCAGGGAAGAGTTACAACACTTAAGGTTTTTAATGCTATCCCTATTCTGCACTGGATAGGGTAATGTCGGAAGCCCCGGGGTAAGGTGAGTATATTTTCTAGCTATTTTCCCTTTGGGTATTTTGTTTTTACAGCATTATTGCAGCAATTTGAGATGGGCAGGCACTATGCAATAAGTGATCCTTGCATTTTAGTGCAAGATCCACTTCAGCCCCTTCATGACTGCCGTGTAGATTGTTATCATGAATAAACTCCTATGGCTGACAGGACATACTGTAGATCTATGGATTGTATTATGCTTGTTCATGTGCCTCCAAGTGTGCAACTGAAAGGTCAGTCTCTTAATGGGGATCAATGTCACAGCCACTGTCAGTGCAGTTCAAAGCTTTCAGTACTTAAAAATAGTTTCTGTAAACCTCCCTCTCCATTCTGTCAGACCAGATTTATCTGTGAAAAAAAAAATGCTTGTACCATTTTTTTTACTAGGGAACCAAAATTAGCTCTAAAGAGTTGTGTAATATTTTTTATACGTGGAATGAATGCAGTGTTTCTTTCCTGTTCACTGAAATGTAGCGAGCTACTTTAAAACCCAGTGGGCTTCATTCACTAAAGAAGTAGATAATTTTCACTTTGAAAAGTTAATGTTAACTTAGCTTAGTAAATAAAATGAAGCTGTGTTCAATTTAAATACCTAATCATGTGCAAGGGACATAAAAAAACTGATTTTTGCTAACAATTGATTGGATGGTTGAAGTGAACACAGCTTCACCCTATTTAGAAACCTAAGCAAGCATTCACTTTGCAAAGTGAACAGCCCCTACGTATTTATTAAATTGGCCTGCATTTAAAGTCTCATCTGCAAAGTACATTTCTGGTTGGCTGTTGTGGATTACTAACATACTGCAAACCTTGTCCATGCAGGGCAAAGCAGCAGGTCCACTTTATCCCCTTTCTTCCAAACAGCACATACTCACCTTCCTTCACTCCCTGCCCTTACAGTGACCCTGTTGCTATATTAAAATGACTCCAAAAAGGCATACCTGTAAAGGTAACTGCAAATAGCTAATTCTGAGAAATTCTGAGAAATTATCCCTGAAGTCCGCTGGGAAAACAATACTTCCTGGAGTGTGAATCTCCGTAGCCCCCCTTGCAATGGGTGGGAGTCAGAGAGGAAGTAGATAGAGCTTCGATGGACCCAGGAGAGCAGAAATGGTTTCCAAGTGGACTTCAGTGGACCATATCTCAGGATGGTAGAGGAGCTCACCACCGTGGCCAGCAAGAGAGGTAAGTATTTACATTCAACTTTTTATGGGCATGCCTTTTCTGGGAAATTTTAATACAGTGACTAGATAAACAGGTGAAACATGAATTTTGTAATATGGCAACTAGATAAACAGAAGGCGAAACATGAATTTTGTATAGTATTCAAAAATATATGTATCACCTTTCAAAAAGAAAACAATAGTTTTCAGCCAAAAAGCAGATTTAATTACTAATTCCAAATTTTGACGTCAAGAGACAGCAATCAATCCCAATTACCTTATTTTCCTTGAAGTAACCATTGCAGGAAAACAGAAGAGCGCATTTAGTTGTAGCTCCTCATGTCTAGGGTGCACTTGTTGTCTGGCTCTATATGTGTAAAAAAAAAAAAGGTGTTTAAATCAGTCTCATAAATGTTCATCTGTGTAGTAAATACATTAAGTAGGAAAACTTTTTTTTGGCTAAAGTTCTAGTCAGACAGCAGATGTGTTACAAACAAGGCTGCAGACACATAAATTACAGACTTCTGAAGTCTCAAGAAATTTCTGCTG